CACTTGCTGTTCTTGCTTGTGATCCAGGATAAACTCTTCTGAATAACTAACTGCCTCCCACTCCCACACACTTATCTGGGTTTTCTTACTTCTAGGTTAACAACCTGCAAAATTAATCATATCTATAATTTGGAAGGGGAAAAAAAAAGGTAAATTTAAAAAAGACAAAAAACCCCCCCCAAAACCAAAACAACAACCAAGCAGCTTGTAAACAGTTTTTATTGCTGCTTACTGCCTTAGCAGAATTCATGTCTTTGCTCGAAAGAGAGACATGGGGGGCAGGCACGTGTTATGTCTGTGGAATGAAACGTGCCATGGCCTATTCCCAGGCATTGACACCGAACTGCTGCTGCTGTTATGCTGTTCGGGAGGTCCTAGCACAGGCTTGCCCCAGGCAGTCTAGCTCCCCACCAAGCAAACCCTAGATTCTGGGAACCACCAGAAGGGACAGTTCCCCACTGGGAGTTTGGCAGCTGCCACCCTGTTTTGCAGGGTTCAATATCATGGGCGCAGCTCATTAAATTCCAGTTGGCCTCAGGGCCAGAAAACAGGGTTGGACACATTTAGTTTCCCACTGGACATGGCTACCAGTGCATGAGTCTCACTATAAACTAAACCACAGACACCCGAGCAACAAGATGAGGCCTATCAGCTTGGCTCTCCAAACTTTTACTCTGAGTCCCATGTAAAATCCTGAGATGCAACTGCTGATGCTGTCTTTGTCTCCTTTGTTTCCATTGGTCTTGAGAGACCAGATTGGCACCACCACTCCCCAGAGGGCAGATGTGTGGATATATGCTCTACGTACAGGGATCAGCAGAAGGAGGGGTCTAGCAGGAAGGGGTAGCATTCAACTCCCTTTTCCCCTTCTCTTTTAATTTCTCTCTCTCCTGCTGTAAAGATACAGCAATTTCTGCTTGCTCCTACATCCTTCTTTGACCGCTTAATCAAATAAATGAAAACCCCAATATAAACAAAGCACTATGTTCCAGTTTCTGCTTTTGCATGATGCAGCTTAGAAAATATACACTTAAGCAAAACCAATGTGGCCTTGTTCACTCTAGCTGCAATTCTGTGTTAAAAAAACTAACTCCGAGGCTTTTCCCAAGCGATCTGGCTTTGTAGCCACACATGGTCACCACTCAGCATTGTGGCATTTCACAGTGGGAGATCAGCAGCAAACTGCTGAAGGCTTGGCCACTGGATGATGACAAAAGGACAGTATCTTATCTGTAGCAGGGAAAAGGTTGCTAAAGAGCTTTACTGAGATGAGCAAGCAGATCAAAAATGCTTTATAGTTCACGTTCCATAAAAGCCCTGCTGTCAATAGTAAAGGTTATAACCAAAATAGAGGCTGGCAATGACCTTACACAATCCATTTCTAAACACTAATTTCTTTGAAGATCTATATTTCAAGATAGTTACCTTGTTTACTGTGTCCTGAAACATCTCTGACATATGCTGTTTTCAGGCAATATATAAGCATAAACACACTTTCCTACTGTTTTAGCAGATCCATCAAATGCTCATCAGCCTATTTTCTTCTTTTTTTCCCAGGTTTTCCCATTATTTTAATTCTTTTGCGGCCATTTCAGTTATATTATTAAAAGCAGTGTATTTGCTATTGTTCCGTCTTCCTTATAGTTAACATCCTATTGTCTAACCAGAACTGGGCATCTAAGAATATTTTCTGACTTAAACAGAAAACACATTTTCTGCAAAAATTACTGCCTGAATGTTATGTCCTCTGTTATCAGTCAGGCAGGACTGTAATTTGTATTTTTTGCTCTAGCTTGAGGCAGGACAGGGGGTTATTGGAAAGCTCGAGATGACCTGAAATGAAGCATGAAAACATTACATCTGTCATGTTTTAGGATCAGTGAAGGCTACCACTGACCTAGGCTGTATGCAGAAAGCATCTTGTTTCTGCAAAACATTGCATGTTAGGAGCTCAGAGACATCTTAAGCTTTTGCATAGAAAACAGCTTTCGGGCATATGTTAAGAACTTTTTTATTCTTTAACTTAAGTATACAGAATATATTGCATTATCTCCCTTTAAGTATCATGTCAGACTATTACATTTTTATAGTATGATTTTGCATTTTCAACTGTAACTTCTATTTCATACATCTTTACTTTTATACAATGGAATTTAACTGCTGCACTGACAAATAAACCATCTAATGATTTTAAAGAGTAGACTTTCTTTGTCTCAGAAAGAAATACTCTGAGATAAGCAACTTGATGAGTTGCCCAATTATTGATCAAACCAGTATCTACCTCCAGAAAACACAACTGGATTTGCTTTACCCTTAGTTCACACCTGGTACTACCAGTGGTTATCTAGCTGATTTTGCAGTCTCCCTTCAAGTGTACTCAGAGCAATGGCACCACAAATCTGAGAAGCAAGACTTTCTCAACAACCAGATGACAGCTACAGAACCCAATTTCAGAACAGATCAGGATACAAATGAATTTCGTGTCCTTCAAAAGGCAAGAACAGCTGACAAACAACATATTTGTGAATGTCAGCAAATGTTACAAGACAGCTTTCAGGCATCCCCTTTGGAGAAATAACATCAAGAATGACATCAAACATAAATGTACATAATTTTTATAGAAAGAACATCTTTTCAAACATGTCATCAAGAGAAACTGAAATATCAGTTCGGTAACAAGTTTGTTAAAAATTACTTTAAAAACTGAACTATTATTTCAAACCATTTGTTTTGTTTCTCCTCCCTTTTCTTCTGGAACATTTTTATAGCACAGAGACACTCATCAGATGTGGCATTTTTTTCTTACCAAAAGTATTTTGAAGCTGAAACCAAGGCTAAGAACCACTAGTCCCTGAAGGAATAATAGAAGAATCAAACAAAAGTTTGCAAGAGACATCTAGCCACTGTGGCTCATTAGTACAACTGATCACCTCCAGCCTCATACAGCATAGTCAAATTTTCTTTAAAGATAAAGCTTTTATCACTACAAGTCTGTATATTCACATAGAATCACAGACTTGTTAGGGTTGGAAAGGACCTCTGGAGATTATCTAGTCCAATCCCACTGCCAAGGCAGGGTCACTTACAGCAGGTTGCACAGGAATGTGTCCAGAGGGTTTTGAATGTCTCCAGAGAGGGAGACTCCACAACCTCCCTGGGCAGCTGTTCCAGTGCTCTGCCATGCTCAACATAACGACATTCTTCCTAATGTTGAGGTGAAACTTTATGTGTTGTAGTTTATGGCTACTGCTCCTCATCCTGTTGCTGGGCACCACTGAAAAGAGTCTGGCACCAACCATGATTATGTCCTTTAAACCATAATACCATTGTTTTACCATTATACTCAGTGAGAGAGGGAAAAACATTCTGAATGGCAATTCTTTCATTTTACCATACCTGTAAATGTCAGCATCTCCAAGGGGAAGGAGGTGCACGGAAACAAGTTTCACCCACATTAAATACAAATGCTCAGACATGCCTACCGAGGTCATGGTTTTTTAGCCCTTGACAACATTCTCCATAGCAAACTAAAAACAGTGAGACTACTACCCTGTGCCCATTAACACTGTGTGGGAATTACACAAATGTAAAACACACTTTCCCAAGAAAAATCAAGTTTAAAACCAGCTGCAGTTTTTTAGCCAAAGCTACTGACCTTAAAAGGGGGCACAAGGCCTGAGCTGGGATATGTGGTTTCAGTTTACATGGTAGTGCCCACATTTTGTATCTGCCCTTTTACAGATGCCCAACAACCTAGCACAGCACAGAGCTGGTTAAAGTGCAGGAACGACCTTCCCTCTCAAATTTAGATACACCAAATCATCCTTGAGTTGCTTGTTCACTTGTTCACTTGGTTTGTTCAAGTGTACCTGTAACCAGCCACCCGTAACTGCTTCCCAACCTCTTACGTAACAGGGAGACTGCCAGGGCACATCCCAAAAACACCTCCAGCTCGGCACCACCACCCCCTCAGAAGTTCCTGTAGGCATCTACAGAGGAGACTGAGGGAGACTTCATTGCAGTCTTCAACATCGTCATGAGAGGAAGCAGCAGGGCACGTACCAATCTCTTCATTCTCATGACCAGTGACAGGACTTGAGGAAATGGCATGAAGCTGAGTTGGAGGAGGTTTAGGTTGTATATCAGGAGAAAGTTTTTCACTCAGAGGGTGGTTGAGCACTGAAACAGGCTCCCCAGGGAAGTGGTCACAGCACCAAGCCTGTCTGAGTTCAAGGAGTGCCTGGACAATGCTCTCAGGCACATGGTGTGATTCTTGGGGTGCCCCGCACAGGGCCATGAGTTGGACTCAATGATCCTGATGGGTCCATTCCAACTCAGCATATTCTATGATCCTTTAAAATTTATGCTTGTTCAACCATCCCCTGGCCCATGTTCCCAAGCCATAGTACCAAACAAACAGCTACCTTCAGGATGTATCCCTAAGGGAACCTGCATCTATTTTCTGGCTCCAGAATCCCGTAGGCCAGGTACAGCTGAAAACCCAACTGATCAACTGCACGTGGCAGGGAGGACAATGGAGACCAAAAGGTTGAAAAGCAACCAGCAGTGTGTGTTGTAAAACAGATACCCAGTCACAGTTTCTTGTTGCATGATCCAGGGCTTCGAGGAGGCAGTGAGCCACAGGAACCTTGTCATGTGTCCAAATTCAGGGAGGAAAAAAAAGTGAGTGACGAAGATGTTGAGAGGTCTGAAAATTTCAAAATCCAAATATGGGTTTCATGCAGTGCAGGAAAACATAAACACACACACACACACACACACAAGGAAATCTGAAAAAGAAAGGTCCCTTCCCCTTTTACCACCTTGAAGGTCAGACACTCCTCACAGAACACAGACAAGGAGCACAAGGCGGGGACAGGGAAGGTGAGGATGAGCCACTGTCAGCCCCGATGTTCCTTGTCTGCACACCCGCACTCCCACCCTGGGACTCTGGCAGGGGGCCAGGAGTGCCCCGGGGCTGGGTCCGGCGGGCACCAAACATGACTGGGCTGCATCACAAGCAGTGTGACCAACAGGTTGAGGGAGGGGATTGTGCCCCTATGTTCTGCTCTGGTGAGACCCCACCTGGAGTGCTGCATCCAGCTCTGGGGTCCTCAGCACAGGAAGGGTATCAACCTGTTGGAGTGAGTCCAGAGGAGGGCCACTAAGTTGATCAGAGAGATGGAGCACCTCTCCAGTGAGGAAATGCTGAGAGAATCGGTATTGTTCAGCCAGGAAAAGAGAAGGTTTCAAGGTGACCTAATTGTGGCCTTCCAGTATCTGAAGGAAAAATGGGGCAAGACTATTTACAAGAGCATGTAGTGACAGGACAAGGGGGAAGGGTTTCAAATTGAAAAAGAGTAGGTTTAGAAGAGATATCAGGAAAAAATTCTTTACTGTGAGGGTGGTGAGGCACTGGAACAGGTTGCCCAGGGAAG